TCCTGCTCAACTCAGGGCTGTAGGTAGCCACCACCAAGTTACTGGATGTGACACACAAATGAAACCATTTCGGCTGCTCCTGGCCTGAGGCCTCCCAGCAGGGCTCCTTTGACAGCCGTGAATACCTGAGCAGGACAGAGTGGTGGCCTTGTGTGGGGGCGGCTGCATGAACGGGCCATGTAGGAAGAAGTCTCACCACCTGTTCCGTGCGCCTTCCCACCTCGCCTGTGCAGCAGGTGCGGGAGGCGCCCCTGCATCTGCCAGCCGCACCTCTTGCCCGCGCCCTGAGCTTTGCGTTGTTCTTGTGGGCTTCTTGCCTCCCAATTGAGAGATGGCGGTGGAATGGATGCAGTGGGGTCAGGCAGGGGCTGTGTCCTGCAAGTCTGACTCATGCTACTGGAACCAATAAATTCCTTATATTGCACTTAAATGGGGAGGCTTCCTAAAAGCTGTATTTGTTTAAAGACACTGGCATCTGAAGAGGTGGAGGGGCTCGTTGGCTAAGCGGCAGGCCACTGCTTCGATCCCTCCTGTGCCTCTGAGGTGTTCCTTGTGGCCTCGCGGGAGCCACGTCACCTGACTTCCAGTGGTTCTTAAACCCACGCAGCGTCCAGGCCGCTGTGAACAGCCTTGGAAAAATCGTCCTTAGCACAGAAGCATGGGCACCTGGAAGCAAAACAGACCCGCGCTCCCAGCTCTCCCAGCCCTGCCGGGCATTCACACCCTCTAGAAGAAAGGTTGGAGGTTGTTTCTAGCTGTGTGCCTTCTTTTTCTTCTGGTTAGTCCAAATCAGTAGTCTGCTGGTTAGAAACACTAGTCAGTGAAAGCTTTTTGGTGATAAATCATTTTAAATTGGCAATTGCTCTGGTGTGCTGAGCTCGAGAGGCCTTATTCCCATTCTTTGAACAAAATATCAGCCGTGGTCTCTGACCTATTTATTTCAGGGGTTAAGTCAGCCTTGCCAACCATAAAAAAAGACAGAGGAGGTGTACAGTTTCACCGGCCCATGCCATGGGCTGGGACGTCCGTCCTCGTTTGGAAAAGGCTGCTGCTTCAGTTCTTCTTTAGTGTTCTTACCTCAGCTCGCATGTTAGTTGCAGTTGTACTTTGCATAGGCACTAATTAGAGAGCCATCAACATTGGGGTCCAAAGCCTCACTGACAATGCAACTGTCATAGTGGTGTCTTAATTGGTTGAGCGTAATTGTCATTAGGCAGCGATAAAGACATCTGGAGCTCTGGAGAAAAATCAACCTTTTCTCCCTGCCCCGCTTTGCTGTCTGTTCTTGCGTCTCCCGGCCAAGGTTGGTAAGTGCTTTTAGATCGCGTTTAGGGTTTTGGTCCAGGCCCCTCTGCCCCAACCAGTGCTCTCCCCTGGTGAAAACGCTGGTTTCTTTAGCACTGAGTCCGACTGCCACCACTGCGATTGCTTTCGCTGTGTTCGATTTTAGAACCTACAGCTGAGTCATCACTCAGTACCTGCTGAAATAGGCTATTTATTCCCTGTTCTCATCATAAAAGAGACATAAAGTCTCTTACGGCTTGCTTCCTGAGTCATTTCACAGCAGAGCGCTTGTGTTATCATGCTCTTTGGCCATGAAGAGTAGAGTTAATTTAAATGGATATCTGTGGAGAAGTTCATGTTTACCGAGATAATTTAGCTTATCCTGTGTTTTATTGAGACATTTTAATCAGTTTAGAAATACATGCAACAAGTCTACTGCACACCACTGTGTGTTCTGGGTGTCTCTCAGATTGTTGGCACTGGAAGGTGAGCAGCAGATATGAAAGCGGGTGCCACTCAGACCACTCGAGCTGTTACTTGTGGATGTCCCCTTTCGATCACCATTTATTTACTATTAGCTGTGCGCAAGGCCCCTGACAGACTATGGCATTGAGATAGGGCCTTCGCAAGGACCTTATAGTCAGATCGAAGAGCCATCACATTTAGCGGTGAAGGCCATTTCTTCAGATTGGGGCATAGCAGTTGAGTCCGAGAAGGCTTCATGGAGGAGGAGAGCCGTTGCTGGACCTTGAGGAGTTGGTAGGTTTGAGGTAGGTTGGAGGTCCTCGGCCTTGGCTGCACATTGGACACATGGATGCCTGGTTCCAACCCCAGAGTCAGATTTAATTGACCTGGGGGTGCTTGGATATCGGGAGTCTGAAAGGCACCCCGGGTGATTCTGTAGTGTGCGGTTGAGGTTGAGACCCACTGGGCGGGGTGAGGAGGAGGGAAGGTGATGAGAAGGTGCCATGAACCGAGTGTCAGAGGCAAGCGTGTGTGGAAGCCAGTGAATGGCAGGCCTGTCTGAGGCTGGCCCACGCTGAGGAGGAGAGGAGATGCGGCTGGGATGAGGAGGGACACTAGTTTGTGGCGTGTTCTCAGTGCTAGGCTAGTAATTAAACCTTCATTCTGTAAGGTGTTCAGACCTAAGTGTTGCATTCATAGAGGACTTTCCCAGGCGTCCACCGCTCTTCTTGTCTGACTATTTGAGTCACCAAACCCACAACTGTGAGCAAGACCAGCCCCGACCGCAGAAGCTTGTCGGTTTGCTGGGGAGATGAACAGTCAGATGATCACACGCATGCGTGCACACACACAGTTGCCCCAAGAGTGCGTCTAGGCTGCTGTCACGGTGCAGACCACGGTCTAGCGCGGAATAAGGGGGAAAGGGAGGACAGGGCATGGAGTCCAGCGTGTCTGAGGAGCGGGCTTGTGCAGGGTTGGCTGGAGGTGGGGGAGGCTCAGCGGGGCTGCCGTGGTGCGGCTGTGAGGGGCGAGGGATTTAGACTCAAGCGGCATTCCTGGGAATGGGAAAAAGAAAGGGCGTGGCGACTGGACCGTGTGCAGCAGGTGGGTGGTGAGCGGAAAAAACCCCAGCCCACTGGCAAAAATGAGGAATCCAGCAGCAGGCTCATTTGGGGGTGAACTGGGAGATTTCGAGGAGAGCTTCCATTCAGCTTTAGGCCTGGGAAGGTGCAGTGCGTGGGGCAGCTTCAGGGATGGGCGTTCACCGACGTGGCATCGGCAGGGTTCCGCGTCCCGTCTGGTGGGGGTTGCTTTACCTGGGCGCTCACTGTGTGAAGGGGCCCGGGGGTCGGTGCAGCTCAGCCTCTGGCGTTCTCTCCTCAGCACCCCTCTGCTCCCCACCGCGGCCCCTAAAGGCTGCCTCCAGGGGCCACTTGAAGGCCCCTGTTGTGGTCCCATGTGCAGGTAATAAAAAACAGAGCGACCGAGACTGATGGAAAGGAAGCACGTTTCCTGGTTTGTGCACTTCTTTTTCCCCAAATTCCTTAGATCCCTGGCCCCTCAGATTCCCTGTTTTCCTTTCACTCACCTTCTCTGAATTTTGGAAAGACGGAGCCATCCTTTTCACCTTTCTTCCCTGAATTGCCTAGTTCCTTTCACTTAGAATCTAACCTCAAGAATCTACACACGGCCTAGAAATCCAGACACGTTTTTTCTGTTCAGTGTCTCTAGCGAAGCGAGCGGCCTCACCCCAGAGACCAGCTGCGCCATTCCCGGGAGGTCAGGGTGTGCCTGGAGGGCTGCTGCAGCGGGTAGGAGCACTCGCCCAGGGCCCTCGGCAGGAAGGGCGGCCTGGGACGCAGCCGGCAGCCCCGGAGCCGGCAGCTGCCGCCGGCTGCCCTCGCCGGCCGCCCTCGCCCGTGCGTGGAGTGAGCACTGCTGCTTCCTGGAGGACCGGCGGTCAGACAGAGGCCTGTCAGTCCAGTCCTGGGAAGCACGGGGCTCTTGCTCGGCTCTCGGGTGCTGCCTGCAGGGAGAGAGCCTAACTCTCCACCCTGGAGAATTTGTGACAGCGTGACCTTTGTGACCTTTGAATTACGCAATACATGTATTTACTGTTAATTAATAATTAGAGAGGCTGCTTACTGCATTTAGTAAATGAAGCACTCCCGAATCCGGGTATTCTTAGTTTGTTAAGAAGTCTCACGTGAGAAATTGACCCATAACTTCTTCATAATGAATCATGCCATAGATTTCAGTAATTAAAGAAATCTCAGAGGTTATGCTTTTAACATGGGGTCAAGGAAACCCTGAAAGAACAATGGCTTGGGCCTCGGGAAGACTGCAAACCCCCTTAACTTGTCTTTGTGTTTGTGTGAGTACATCTGGAGAGTCTTAGAACCATTCTAACACGCCTCCCCACAGCTGACTTATGTGTTGAATTGAACTTTGTGCAGCAGATGCAAAGAACTTAGCACAAATACCCGAGTGGCAGGCAGCGCACCACCTCGTCAGCTGGCCAGTCTGTTTTCCTGTGGCCTCGTGTCTGAGCAGGTTCTGGCCCTGCCTCGGCTTTGATGGAGAGCGCCGTTTGTTGGAGCGGCTGTAGTCCTCGCAGAGAGTGAGGCCTCCTCTCTTCTAAGTGGGCGAAACTGGGAGTGTCAGGCATTTCGGCAAGGGCTTTTCATGAGAAAGCAGCATTGTCTGGCTGCTAAAGGCAAGACTTAATTGTTTCAGCAAATCAATTAGTTTTAGGGACTTTAATTAGTCAAATGTGATGCATGAGTGAGGTGTTAGAAAGCGTGTGCCCATCAGACCGTTAGTCCTTAGCGTCTCTCTCTCTCTTTTTCTCTCTCTCTCTCTCTGTTGGCCCTTGTTATGCATTTCTGTGCGTAAATACTGTGGCTTCTACAAATTTCTGCTAGTGACCTCTTTCCTGGGAGAACTTAAGGTAGCAGATTGGGTTATAATAGTGTAAAAGGAAAAACAAGGGATCTTGATACCTGATTTTTTATAGTATAGGGTTCCCCTGGGGAACTGTCAGTGTTGTGCTGTGTGGACATGGAAGGTGTGCACAGCCTCTCTGTTGCCCGATTGTCATCTCCTCCTCATCCAAACAGCGGGGCAGGGTGGGGGGTCCCCACACGACTAAATCGCACGCCTGTGTTGTTTTAGGGCTCCCCCCCCGTTTTCTCCACTATGGCCCTGCTCTGCTGTCTCCACTTGGAACCAATGGTACCCTTATTTTCCAGATACACATCAGGGGACGTGCGGGTGTGGGACACCCGCACCTGGGACTACATGGCCCCCTTCCTGGACTCCGAGTATGAGGAGGACGAGCCTGGAATGCAGCCATATGTCTCCTTTGTGAGGATCAACAGCTCGCTGGCGGTGGCGGCGTATGAGGATGGTAAGTAACCGCAGCCCTCCTCCCTATTAAGGAAAAAAAAGCTTTACAAAAATTAAGCAGCTGTGGCCAGCTCCCCCCGTAATCCCTCCGTACGTACACGTGGGCACACACACGGGTCCACACACACACACACACACTCGCTCTTGCCATTATGTGAAGAAGTTGGCCAATAACGCTCCGTGCATTAGTGGGCATTGGAACACAGCACCCATTAAAACCTGTGTTTAATTCCTACTGGAACTGTCGGGCTGGGGGTGAGTGCCAGACAGGAGGCTGGCCAAGCCATCTTAAGCAAATAACTTGTTTGGTATAAAATATTAAATATACTTGGCCTACTTTTCCTTCAGTCTCTGCATAGTCCAAAGGGAACAGCAAAGAGGGGTGGACACAGATAATCTATTGACAAATATGGAAATAGAAAAAAAAAAAAGCCAGTGCCTACCTTCTCCTGGCACTTATGTGCCATACAAGATAATTTATGGTAATATGTTCTCTCTCTGGGACTGGCTTTTGTGTATGAGCAACTGTGGAGTACAGACATAGGTGAGAGTAGTCTAAAATAGGGACCCTCAGCGGCTTGTAACTGATAGGAATGGTAGTTTCGATGGCCATGGGTATCCTATACTCTGGCTCATGCTCCCAACTTCCACTGTCGTGTAAAGTTTGAATTTCCCAGATCTGCATTTCCCCACTTGCCTGAAAGCTGGACCACAAAATATTCCCAGGCGTCAACGCTCATGTCCTGGCAGCGTTGCCCGTCCGCACCGCCGGTGCGGCGCATCGGTCGGCTCAGACGGACAGCACTGTGGTGGAGCAGGTGATGGGGAGCTTTCTGTGTTTGTGCCATTGAAAAAAATAAAAATGAAGGCTGAAATCTTAAGTATTTTCATTTTATTATTTTAACATGAACTCTCTTCTTTTGGTTTGACATTAGTAGACGCCACTGATGGATTTTTTTTTTCCAACCTCTAGAGATCTGGCTACGCTGGGTCCCTTTGGTACGTGAGACTTCGTGTCTGCTTACCGAGACGCTGCAGACTGCACACGGGCAACCTGGGTGTGTTTGCTCCTTTCTAAATTACCAGAGTCTTTTTAAAACAACGATGCAAAGGCTGTAGTATTTTTAAGTTAGAATCATATAGTTTTAGAATTATCCAGTAGCCTCCCTGGCCACACACACCGTTGTCTTCAAGTGGGGAAACTGAGGTGCCAAGTGACCGGCCAAGTGATTTGCTTGAGTCAGCGTTGAACCCAGGACTGTGCGTGTGTCTCTGGGGCCATGGCCGTGCCTGGCTGTAGCACCAATTATGTAATAGTAAACCCAGAGACGTCTCATTGCTTGTGAACTTGAAAATGCAGCTTCAGGCGAAGTGCAAGTGTGCGGCAGGTTTCACGTTGTTGGTCAGAATTGCCTTTGTCACCCTCACCCTGTTGCGGCACTGAAACATTGGGGAACCAAGTAGCTATGACAGAGAAACTACTTTTTTCCTTAAATAGTTGGCACATAATTGCTAAAATGTCTTTGAAATACTTGTTTTTAAAAAACTCATAGTTGGAATTCAAACAGCAAAAAAGTCTGAAATGTAAAAGAAAATGTATCCAAAAAGAAGTGGAAGTGGTCGTTCCGTCCCTGCAGCGCTGGGCCCCCTCACGTTTTACATGTAGCTCCCCGTCCAGGTGTGCTTCTGCATGCCCCAGCTGTCTTCACCGAACGACACGTCTTAGTGTCTTTTCTGTGCGAGCACCTAAGGTAAACCTCGTCCTTTCTCAGCCTGTGTAGCTTTGCACTGCGTGGCCGTGCCATGCTTTACTTGTGAGCGCCCATAGCGATGCACGTTTGGGTTGCTTGTTCTTGTTATTAAAAACAGTGCTGCAAGCAACAGCCTTGAACAAATACCGTGATGGACTTGTGCACCTGTGTCCACGGAGTAAATGGCTAGCACCTACCAGGTCTCAGGCTACCGAAGCTTTGCGTTCTAATGGAGAGTGCCAAATCGCCCTCCTGAAGGTTCTGCCTGTTTATAGTCGGTCTCACCAAGTGTGTGAGGGTGACTGCTCGTGCCTGTTGGATGGGTGGAAATGGCACTTCACTGCTGTCCTCGTTTGCTTTTCTCTGTGTGTGTGAACATTTCTCATTGTGCTATTAGGAGTGGTTTGTATTTCTTTCTCTGCAAATTGCACGGTCCTATCTTTCTGCATTTGGGGGTGGGGGTTGTTATCTTCTGGTTGAAAAGAAACGAACTATTTCAAATACCTTTTCAATTTGTCAGTTTATTCTTCAGTGGACTATATTTATGATTTATTTTTCTAGATGGTCGTGTGTGTATGTGTGAGTGATTTTAATATTTTAATCCATAAAGGAGTGGATTTTATTTTGTAATTTAATGCTTTTGACTAAGTGAACATTTTAGGGATGTAAAATCAAACTAATACAAACAACTAATAATACAGTGAACATATATTGAGAAGTCTTACTTCTATTCTTTTTTGTCCACTCAATGTTAAAGCAACCGTATAGTTTAGTTTGTTGTTGATCCTTCCAGTATTTCTGCATTTCAAATATAAGCAAATATGAGTATCAATTTTTATCCCCCCCCCATTTAAACAAAAGATGACGTACTACCTTATAGTATTCCATAACTTGGCTTTTTTTTCACTTAATTACATATCTTTTTTTGTTGCATAAATTTGATACGTAAGATTGTGTAAGTTTAAGCTGGATAGTGTGTTACTTTCACACATTTATATAGTATAATATGATTGCCATTGTTGTGATATTTACTACATTACATAATTATAATACAATATTATTGTCTAAATTCATTATACTTTGCATTAGAACCTGAAGGCTCACTTACTACTTGTTACAAGTTTGCACCTTTAGACACCGTAAATCTTTTCCTCTGGTAACTGCCATTTTACTGTTTTATACAGATTTGACGTCTTTAGATTCTACATATAGATGATCATACAGTACTTGTCTTTTTCTTCCTGACCTATCTCACTTAGCATAACATGCTCAAGGCTCATCCATATTGTTGCAAATGGCAGGATATTTTCCTTTTTCATGGCTGAATAACATTCTGTTGTATATGTACCATATATTTCTATCCATTCATCCATTGGTGGGCATGTGGGTTGTTTCCATATCTTGGCTATTGTGACTAATGCTGTGATGAACCTGACATACCTTGAAAGGTAATCCATGCTGGTGTGTACAGAATATACTTTTTTTTCATACCTGTGTAGAATTCCATTGTACAAGTGCTGTGGTTTCTTTACACAACCCCTTACTGAGGGACGGTTGTGTTGTTTCCGATGATTTGCTGTTATGGTGTTGCAGTGGAAACTTGTATGTATGACATGTCATGTAAGAGTAAGCCGGATAGCTTGCTATAAAAATGCAAGTGGGGTAATAATATTTTGCACTCTTATCAGCAAGGTATGAAGGTGTGCTCATCTCCTTACAGTTTTATCAGCAACGTATGTTTCAAATGTTTAAGTATTTGTCACTTTGATAGATAAGAAATGGTATCCAAATGTAGTTGCAATTTACATTTCTTAGTGTGAGGTTTTCTTACATGTGTATCTGCTACTTGTAATTCTTTCTTTTTCTTCTAGTTCTTTTGTATTTAAATCTTGATCAATATAGAACCCATCCTGGAATAGTATGAGATATGAATTTGGTCTCCAGCATCTCTTTTTAGAAAGCCCTTCTCTACCTTCCTGGTTAAAGGTGCCACCTTTACAAGTTTTTAGATATAGATTCTTTTAGTATTTCCGCCTGTTTCTGGATTTTAAGTTTGGGCCCGGTTGGTCTGTCTAGTTGTTATATTTGCATCGTCACGTTTGTCAGTCGAGTCCTTTCAGGGTTTGCGCCACGCTCCCGGGATATTCCTGCTCTAGGTAGAATGCACTCTGTTTCCATGGCCACGCGTTTACACTGAAATCTTTAGTTTGTCTCAAATTCCTTTTGGTATTAGGATTGTTTCTTTGATAAGAGCTCTTGTGTTTTCCTGCCTCTCTGTCACTCCCAGCTTGTTTTACCAGTCTGATTGGGGTTGTTACTATTTCTGAGATAAACAACAACTTCTCACTTTTCCCCTAGACCTCAGGTGGCATTGTCTTTGGTTTCGCTTTGGTTTAACAGATTGTTGCTGTAACATTTATACCGACATGTTTGTGAGTAGCTACTTCTGGGCAAAGATAGATTGGAGTTATAATCAAATGTTATTTTTACACAGCTCGTCCCAAGGGCAGTGACTAGGCACCTCTCAGGCACAACAGTCCAGAAAGGACACTTACCTTGTGGGGTCTGCGTTGTGAAATTTGTAACTGTGCCCCACAGAAGAAAAGAATTAGGTCATAAAATGAGTGAGTGAACTTCAGCCCCCTGGTTGTGCCGGAGGAAGCTCTGTAGCCTTTGAGGCCCCCAGCAGCCTGAGCACACAGTTAGCCCCCGGGGTGGAGGTGGAGAAAGCGACACCCCCTCGTCCTCCTCAGCCTCCTCGCCCTGCGGGGACACTGCACGCCCACCTGGGGTGCCAGGGTTTGGCAAGGGGATCCACAGTTGTGATTTTTTGAATTCCAACCCACTGGCCTCATATTTCTTCTGCCTTGTTTCCGATTGTCAGCACTGGCCACCCTCCAGTTTGATTTTACCACTAATTGTGTTGCACGTTACCGTACCGAAATGAATCAAATCAAAATGCTTTTCCTGGAGCATTAGATAAAGCAGGCGAAGGTTCTGAGTAATGAGCAGATGCTGCTAATGCAGGGACAGTGGGAGACCTTGCCAGGCCTCCATCTGCTCCATGCGTGCCTGCCTTTGGCCTTGAGCCACGGCATTAGGAGCGCGGTGCACTGGGAACCCGCGCCCTGTGCTCGGAGTTTGTCTGGAAAACTCACGCTTTGGAGGGAAATGAGATTACACACTCTTTGGGCACAAAGTTCTTATTTGTCCCCACTCCGTGGGGAGAGGAGAGACAAGACCAGTGCAT